CTCCTCATCCTCCTCTTCAACTTTTTTACTTCATTTTCATAGCTATGCTGAAGTGGGTTATATAATTCATATTTTATTTTAGGGAACTTAAATGAGAGAAGATAGGCAAATAACAACATAAGCTGTGGCTAAGAGGAGGTTTGATTGTACCTAAGTTGGTACTGCAGGTGTGAAGCACTGTTAAACTCTGTTTCTGGGCAATTTTCAGGGCCCTTGTCAGGTGTCTCTGCCCTTAAACTGTGGCTGAAGGAAACTCCTCCAGACTTTCTGGATCTGGTTGATGTCAACTCTGGGATCCACTCCCTTCCCCTCTAGCCAACTAGTAACATCAGCAGTGGCTGAGGCAAGATTCTATATTCCCATTGTTTCTCTCTACTAGAAAGTTCACTGAAACTATAGCTCTGTCCACTTTCTGCTCTTTCTTCCATCTATTGCTCCACAATGGCAAACTAATTTGTAGCAAACAGCATTTTGATTGTTTCACGTTCCTCAGCTCAAAGTCCTTAACTCTGTAAAAATGTTTGTGAAGCCCAGCTAGCATGGCTCAGTAGTTGAGCATATGAACCAGGAGTTCATGGTTCAATTCCCAGTCAGGGCACATGTGGGTTTGATCCCCATTGTGGGACTTGTAGGAGGAAGCCAGTCAATGATTCTCTCTCATCATTGATGTTTCTATCTCTCTCTCTCTCCCTCTCCCTTCCTCTCTGAAATCAATAAAAATATATTTTTAGAAATGTTTATGTAATAACAGAAAAAAATCAATATATAAAATGTTTATATGATCTGAGTGATTGCTCATCTACTAATTTACAGAGTATTTGTTCTGAACCAAACACTACCTATGTAGAGTGGTAAAGGGACCATAGTCTATCCTCATGGAATTTATGTAGTTGGAGAGGCTGACAAATAAATGGAAAACTTCAAGTCAATGGGAAATATTATATTTATATATTCTAAGATATATATGTACACACATATGTACACACAAAAGAATAAAATCAGAAATGCTCTATTATAAGTGGCAATCTTCAACTGGCATTTGAAACTTCTTTTTGGTCTTTTCCAAGTTTATGCTAATAATAATGTATAACATGAATGATAGAAAACATTTAAAAGCCCAGCTGGTGTGGCTCAGTGGTTGAGTGGTGACCTATGAACCAGAAGATCATGGTTCAATTCCCACTCAGGGCACATGCTGCAAGTGTGGGCTCGATTCCCAGTAGGGGATGTGCAGAAGGCAGCTGATCAAGGATTCTTTCTCATCATTAATGTTTCTGTCTCTCTCTCCCTCTCTGAAATCAATAAAATATTTTAAAATAAATAAAAGTTAAACATATAAGGACTCCCACTGACCAAATGTGAGACAACTAGAAACCTGGTGCACAAAATTTGTGCACGGGTGTAGGGGGGTCCCTCAGCCCAGTCTGCACGCTCTCCAATCCAGGTCCCCTTGGGGGATGTCTGAGTACTGGTGGTCAGGCATACCTCTTGCAATCCAGGACTGCTGGCTCTACCCTTTTATTAGTATAGATTTGAGCAATAATGTAAATTATAGTGGCCACAGATTATAATACATCAAATACAATGATACTAATCTTTTGTTGTTGTTAATCCTCACTTGAGGACATTTTTTTCATTGTTTAGAGAGAGTGAAATGGAGGGGGAGAGACAGCGAGAGATAGAAACATTAGTGTGAGAGAGACACATAGATTGGCCTCTGGCACATGCCCCAACCAGGGCCAGGGATTGAGTCTGCAACTGAGGTATGCGCCCTGGACTGGAATTGAACCCAGGAACCTTCAGTCTGGGGGACAATGCTCCAACTCTTGGGCCAAACTGGCTAGGACAATACGAATCTTTCTTTCTTTTTTTTAAAAAAAGAATTTTCTTTTAAGTCCAGTTGCTCTTTTTGTTTTAAAGTATTTTTATTGATTCCAGAGAGGAAGGGAGAGGGAGAGGGAAATAGAAACATCAATGATGAGAGAGAATCATTGATTGGCTGCCTCTTGCCCATACCCGCAACCCGGGCATATGCCCTGACCGGGAATCGAACTGGTGATCTCTTGATTCCTGGGTCAGCACTCAATCACTAAGCCATACCCCTCTGGGCAATACTAGTCTTTTTAAAGAGAGGAGGGGGAGGGAGACAAGCTCTTTACAGAAGATTATCAACTCATGAAAATAGAAGGAATAATATATTGAGAAAAATCCCCATTTGCAACCACCATATTAATAAATGGATTCAGGGTGACCGCGAAGGCTGTCAGAGCTGGTGGCCAGTCCGAGCTGCCATGGAGCGACACCGCTGGCTGCCGCTGGAGGCCAACCCCGAGGTCACCAACCAGTTTCTCAAACAATTAGGTCTGCATCCTAAATGGCAATTTGTTGATGTATATGGAATGGATCCTGAACTCCTTAGCATGGTACCAAGACCAGTGTGTGCAGTATTACTTCTCTTCCCTATTACAGAAAAGTATGAAGTATTCAGAACGGAAGAGGAGGAAAAAATAAAATCTCAGGGACAAGATGTTAAATCGTCAGTATATTTCATGAAGCAAACAATCAGCAATGCCTGTGGAACAATTGGACTGACCCATGCTATTGCCCACAACAAAGACAAGATGCATTTTGAATCTGGATCAACCTTGAAGAAATTCCTAGAGGAGTCTGTGTCAATGAGCCCTGAAGAACGAGCCAGATACCTGGAGAACTATGACGCTATTCGAGTTACTCAGGAGACCAGTGCCCATGAAGGTCAGACTGAGGCACCAAATATAGATGAAAAAGTAGACCTTCATTTTATTGCATTAGTTCATGTAGATAGGCATCTCTATGAATTAGATGAACGGAAACCATTTCCAATTAACCGTGGTGAAACTAGTGATGAAACCTGGGCAGGTGCCCTGACCAGAAATGGAACCGTGACCTCTTGGTTCATAGGTTGATGCTCAGCCACTGAGCCACACTGGCCGGGCTTTTTTTCTTTTTTAAATGGGAAACTGCTTTCTCTTTATTTAAGCCTTAGGGAGAAAATTCACTTTGATCACATATTACCTTTTTAGAAAATCTAGGTTTACAAAGACAGGATCAAATGATCAGAGGCATCATTTCTTCTGTGAAAACTGGCCAGATTAAGCTCTGGCTGCTGTTGCTCAGTGATGGGTGTTGTCCTGTGCACCGGGACAGCAAACAAATTTTATGTTCTTATTTATTTCAGAGAAGACGGGAGAGTGAGAGATAGAAATATCCATAATGAGAATCATTGATAGGCTGCCTCCTGCATGCCTCCTACTGGTGATCCAGCCGGAAACCAGGGCATGTGCCCTGACCAAGAATTGAACCATGACCTCCTGGTCCATAGGTTGACGCTCAACCATTGAGCCATGCCAGCTGGGCAATGTACTACATCTTTTTTTATCCACTCATCTACTGATGGGCATTTGAGCTGTTTCTAGATACTGGCTATGAACATAGGGGTGCATATATCCTTTCTGGTGATCCAGCCGGAAACCAGGGCATGTGCCCTGACCAAGAATTGAACCATGACCTCCTGGTCCATAGGTTGACGCTCAACCATTGAGCCATGCCAGCTGGGCAATGTACTACATCTTTTTTTATCCACTCATCTACTGATGGGCATTTGAGCTGTTTCTAGATACTGGCTATGAACATAGGGGTGCATATATCCTTTCTGATTGGTATTTCAGATTTTTTGGGATATATTCCCAGAAGTGGGATCACTGGGTCAAATGGAAGTTCCATTTTTGCTTTTCTGATGAAACT